AAAAAAAAAAAAAAAAAAAAAAAAAAATCCCCCCCCTAAAAGAAAAAAAAAAAGAAAAAAAAAAAAAAAAAAAAAAAAAAAAAAAAACTAAAAAGAATAAAACTATGAATCTATGAAATAAGGAGAAAAAACGATTAAAAAAAATAATTCTCATACTATTATTATCACACCCGGTTCCGATTGCCATTTAATCTGTACGGAGCCACTCCGGGTGCGAATAGCCATTTGCGATTAAAGGTACACGGGTACCTGGAGATGCAGATGTTATTTTCGTTTTTGCAAAAGCAGTTATAAATTATCGCCAAGGATCTACCACTGTTATCCCGAGATACATCGGGTCATTTATTCTAGTGAGTAAATAATAGAACAAAAAAATGTTTAGGCTTTAAAAAACAAAGGATCGGACGTTCCGGATAAATGACTTCATCAGCAAAGTAGACAAAAAAACAACAATTATCAATTATTTTTTAAAAAATGTGTGTTCAAGGATCTCAAATTCTAAAATTTAAAGGAGAATGAAATAAATTAATCGATAAATCCTTACAAGATGGAATGACAACAAGGTAAGGAACAATTTCATACAAATAATAGCACTCAGTGTGTCCAAACTAAAGGATGCTATAACGATAAGAAGGAACAAGTTGATACAAATAATAGCAGTCAGTGTGTCCAATCTAAAGGATACTATAACGATAAGAAGGAACAAGTTGATACAAATAATAGCAGTCAGTGTGTCCAAACTAAAGGATACTATAACGATAAGAAGGAACAAGTTGATACAAATAATAGCAGTCATTGTGTACAAACTAAAGGATACTATAACGATAAGAAGGAACAAGTTGATACAAATAATAGCAGTCAGTGTGTCCAAACTATAGGATACTATAACGATAAGAAGGAACAAGTTGATACAAATAATAGCAGTCAGTGTGTCCAAACTAAAGGATGCTATAACGATATGAAGGCGTCAGCCATAAAATCTTTTGCTGTCAACGAGATCAACGAAGCGCGGGTGCCAACTTTCAAAACATTGGGACGGATCAAGTCTGATCAGTTTAACACGAGGAGCTATTTTTACAACAGTAAAGTATTTATTTAATGGTAAAAGTTTATCCCAATATCCATAAAAAAATATGTATACAATACACCACGATACAGAGCTTGAATGAATTTTAAAAACCATTTAGCATGAAATACATACATGACGTTAACGAGAGACTGCTGATATACAAAAAACACTTCATTCTTTTTTTTTTTTTTTGCTGTTAAAACTAAAAAAAAATTATTGTAAAAATAACTTGAGAAGTAAGTAATTATGACACATTTGAACTTTGGCCGTCTAGAACTATTGGTGTAATAATCTGCGGTGTAAAAGGGGTGGGTGTGGGGTGGGACATTAATATATGAATAATTTTCATGGGCGGTGGCGTACCGGGGGTGGCACAAATTGGGAAGCTTGTAAAATGCGTTAATGTAACGCCTGTTTTGTCAAGTAACTTTTGTGGATGGGAAGTTTACGCATTTCGGGAGCCATTGATTGTCAAGCCATAAGCTGCTTATTAAGTAAAACAGACGTTATATTGTACCAGACATTGCAATGCATTAACCTCTTGATTACGCAATCTCGGTACAGAGTAAACACTATAAGACACAAAAATGTGATAGGTGTACTATATTCTTATCCATTGATTTTATTTCTTTTTAAATATTCTACTTAAAAAAAATATTTATTAATATTTTAAAGAGGACTTTTGGGTCTCCTGGAGATATTGGATAGTCTCCTAAAGTTTAAAAAAAAAAAATTTATATATTTTTTTTGGGTGTGTCCATTTTTAAAAATTGCTTACGTTAATTTAATTATCTTTTTATCATGTGCAGTTAAAAGTTGTTTTTCTCAAACGCCCGACACATTAACATGCATATTTTAAAAAGGTAATAAACAAACATGCGTCACTTTCGTATTGCTACAGAGTTATGAAACGCTCCGTTTCAATCTGCCAATGTCTTTCGCTGTGTTTCTTAGCAGTAATAGACTGGAGTGTCCAAGCTTCCCAGGAGGATCATCTGTCAGTAAGGATCGAATGTGCCGGTTTGAATGTAATGTAGAGGTCCAAGCTTCCCATGAGGAACATCTGTAAGTAAGGATCGAATGCGCCAGTTTTAATGTAATGTAGAGGCCCAAGCTTGCCAGGAGGAACATCTGTAAGCAGGGTTCGAATGCGGCAGTTTTAATGTAATGTAGAGGCCCAAGCTTGCCAGGAGGAACATCTGTAAGCAGGGCTTGAATGCGCCAGTTTTAATGTAATGTAGAGGTCCAAGCTTGCCAGGAGGAACATCTGTCAGTAGGGCTCGAATGCTCCAGTTTTAATGTAACGTCGTGGTCCAAGATTGCCAGGAGGAACATTTGTAAGCAGGGCTCGAATGCGCCAGTTTTAATGTAATGTAGAGGTCCAAGCTTGCCAGGAGGAACATCTGTCAGTAGGGCTCGAATGCTCCAGTTTTAATGTAACGTCGTGGTCCAAGCTTGCCAGGAGGAACATCTGTAAGCAGGGCTTGAATGCGCCAGTTTTAATGTAATGTAGAGGTCCAAGCTTGCCAGGAGGAACATCTGTCAGTAGGGCTCGAATGCTCCAGTTTTAATGTAACGTCGTGGTCCAAGCTTGCCAGGAGGAACATCTGTAAGCAGGGCTTGAATGCGCCAGTTTTAATGTAATGTAGAGGTCCAAGCTTGCCAGGAGGAACATCTGTCAGTAGGGCTCGAATGCTCCAGTTTTAATGTAACGTCGTGGTCCAAGATTGCCAGGAGGAACATTTGTAAGCAGGGCTCGAATGCGCCAGTTTTAATGTAATGTAGAGGTCCAAGCTTGCCAGGAGGAACATCTGTCAGTAGGGCTCGAATGCTCCAGTTTTAATGTAACGTCGTGGTCCAAGCTTGCCAGGAGGAACTTGTTATGAAAGTGTTAATATGATACCTTGTTATGATTGTTTTGATTTGACATCTTTCTATGATAGTTTAATATGATATCTTGTTCTGATAGTTTTAATACACTTTCATGTTTTGATAGTTTTAATATTATATATTGTTATGATAGTTTTGATATCATATATTGTTATGATAGTTTTGATATCATATCTTGTTATGATAGTTTATAATATTATATCTTGTTATGAAAGTGTTAATATGACATCTTGTTATGATAGTTTCAATAAGATATCTTGTTTTGATAGTTTTAATATGATTTTTTTAATGATAGTTTTAATTTGATATCTTGTTATGATAGTTTAATATGTTATCTTGATATGATAGTTTTAATATAATATCTTGCTATGATAGTTTTTATATGCCATCTTGTCATGATAATTTTAAAGTGATATCTTGTTATCATAGTTTTAATATGATATATTGTTATGGTAGTTTTAAGACAATATATTGTTATCATAGTTTTAATATGATATCTTGTTTTGATAATTTAATATGTTATCTTGTTATGATAGTTTTAATTGTATATCTTGTTATGATAGTTTTAATATGACTTTTTGTTATGATAGTTTTAATATGATATCTTGTTATGATAATTTTTATATATCTTATTATGATAGTTTTAATATGATATCTTGTTAGGATAGTTTTAATATGATTTTTTGTTATGATAGTTTTAATATGCTAGCTTGTGATGATTGTTTTAATATGATATCTTGTCACGATAGTTAATTATGACATCTTGCTATGAGGAAACATTGATGAAGGCAGAATGGAGGTGCCGCAGTGGTGGGTGGTGTTTTCTCCTCAGCTCGAGGGAGCTCCACCCCGGACCTCCCCCTTTTCCGGGGCCCCCAACCTACGCTCCATGCTTAGCCCCCCCCCCCCCTAGGCAGAATGGGGGTGCCCCAGTGGTGGGGGGTGTTTTCTCCTCAGCTCGAGGGAGCTCCCCCCCGGACCTCCCCCTTTTCCGGGGCCCCCAACCTACGCTCCATGCTTAGCCCCCCCCCCCCCAAACTCCTAAGAACGGCTCTGTTGCTATTATATCTTTTTATGATAGTTTCGATATGAAACATTGTTATGATATTTTTAATGTGATATCTTGCTATGATAGCTTTGACATGATATCTTTTTAATGATAATTTTCATATGATATATTTTTATGATAGTTTTAATATGATATCTTTTTATGATAGTTTAGATCTGCTTCCTTACCTAATTCCAAGACAATGTGAACCATGTGTGGGACGTGACATTAGCATCACATTTAGTGAATGTTTCTCTGGGGGAGAGGGTGTTTTTGTTATAAACTACACAAAGCAGATGAAATAATATCATTGTTAAAACCACTGCTTTTCAACTGAATCAAATTTTGTTTATAAAAATGTACCATGGCGTCATTTCCCCTGTCTTACAGAGAGTCGTTCTAATTATTTGCACTAAACTTTGTGTGGGAGATTTTCCCATGAAACAGGATTTTTTTAATTCTATATATTTTTTTTTTTGGAAGATGGCTTCTCGTTACGTCTCAATATCCATAAAGTTCTCAAGCTGTTATACATGGCAGCAAGTGGCGTACGCTACAACACCTCCCTCATTTCCAAACCTCTCGTAGCCATTGACGGCAACGCAGTGGTCGACTCCGTTGGTTGCTAGGGAGGGAAATATGATTATTGTGAATGAAGACATCTCTCTTCCGAAAATGGGTGTCAAGTAAATGTTTAATTCCCCCCCCCCCCAAAAAAAAAAAAACAAAAACCTCACCCAAAAAAATATTTGTATTTATTATTTTTGCTATAGCAGACTTGATTATGATTCATTTAGTAAGAGTTAAATAACTTGTTTGTGTGTGCTGAAAAATAGTGCCATTCAAAGTTGCCTGACAGAATTGGTATGAACTGACAACGATAATACAATGAAGTGTGCATATAACAGGTGGGCCTTTTTGTTACTTGTTTTGGAAATGCGCCATTTTGGGCCAGCTGCTCAGTTGTTGTTTTTGGTTGTTTTTTTGTGTGAAAAAGGGCGTCAAAAATGCCGTCCCACCCCGGGTTGACACTCACAATAACTCCACCCACTGTTTCGAGGGTTGAATATTATCATAATAATCTAGATCCCTAGGTCATAGGTATGTGAAACGGATAACATGAATCGCCATCTACTATCACAGTTGTTTTTTTTTCTGTTATGTTGTTAGTGTTACATGTTGTTAGTGAGAGATAAGCATATTCATTGAAACACCTAAATTATACCTACTCTATCCATCACATTGAGACACAAAAATTTAACACAGCACTGCAGAAGGAAAATACACTTACTCTCAATGAAGGCCCCGGCAGCTTTAGCATTTGGTGTGTACACATTGCATCCCGTCATGACCTGACCGGCCGGGCACTGGACAGTAGATCTGGCGCCGACCGGGTGACCGCCGGGTGCTGAGTGGATGGTGGTGCATTTGACGTTGCCACCTTTGCAGCAGGCGGCGTATGAGTAAACACCTGACAGAGATACGTGTACGACCCTCAGACCAAGGAGTAATTTTTGCATGTTTGCAACAACGAAGTACTTTTAATTCTTGATAACAATAAATACATTATAACAATGAATACTTTTCCTGGACAGCGCATATATTTTTTTTTTTTTTTTAAATTCCGATTTCTAGAGAGTGGACCGTTATTTATACAGGAGTCTGCGAATCCAACCTAAATTTTATTTTCTTCAGTTTCTTTATAATATCCGATAATAATTTGATGAAATCTGGCATGATTTTGATTCTTACAGAGAATTTTAGAGAATCCCCCAGCCCAGCATCGCTGAGATTAATAGTATCGGATATAGTCATAAGTTTAAAGCACAAAAGATGCTAAAAATAACCAGGCTAAGAGTACTGGTATGGAACTCTCGAGGGTCAAGAGAGCCATAAACACCACAAAATAGCCGACGAAAAGTGGTCGAAAAAACGATGGGATATTGATCGGAAAGAGTTGAAAGAGTTAAAGAAGATTGCACCAGACCGGAAGGCGTGAAAACAGTTTTTAACGGCCTGGCTCCACTGGGGGTTAACAATTTGTACCTACTCTGTGATATTTTTTAACTTTAGAAGAAAAAAATGCTTACCGGGCGCAAGTGTCTACATAGATAGATAATTAAACTATCTGACATCTTACCGGCAGCCAGACCATCATTTTGACCAACGCAGGATGTGTTCGTGATCATGGTACCATCGGAGTCGGACATGTAGGTAAAAGTGGCACAGCCTAGGTCAACACATGAAAGCAAAAACAAAAAAACAAAAAAAAAACCATCAGTTAAACACAGGAAGTGAACGCGTTTTAAACACGGCTAATAAAAAATACATTTTACACGATCGGAAAGACACAAATAGTATTCCTTATTTCGCGTTGTTTTTTTTATCATAAGGCAACTTTATGGATAAACCCGGAAATCCGCAAATCCACCAAGAATAGGAAAAATGTTTGAACCACTGACCTAGAGGGTAACCATCAGTACCACACGGGATAACGATCTGGTCATCTACCCCATTTCCCGATGGTCCAGCCGTCTTGTATGTACATGTCAGGCCACTCAGACTGCAACACCTGGCGCTGGCCTGGATACCTGGGGAAGAGACAGAGACACAGGTAATCATCGCGTTTCACGTTAATTTTAATGGACACTCAAGTGTTACAAAGCATAGCGTTTAATGGACATTCAAGTGTAATAAAGCATAGCGTTTAATGGACACTCAAGTGTAATAATGCATAGCGTTTAAGGGACATTCAAGTGTAATAAAGCATAGCGTTTAAGGGACACTCAAGTGTAATAAAGCATAGCGTTTAAGGGACATTCAAGTGTAATAAAGCATAGCGTTTAAGGGACATTCAAGTGTAATAAAGCATAGCGTTTAAGGGACATTCAAGTGTAATAAAGCATAGCGATTAAGGGACAGTCAAGTGTAATAAAGCATAGCGTTTAAGGGACACACAAGGGTAATAAAGCATAGCGTTTAAGGGACACTCAAGTGTAATAAAGCATAGCGTTTAAGGGACATTCAAGTGTAATAAAGCATAGCGTTTAATGGCCATTCAAGTGTAATAAAGCATAGCGTTTAATGGACATTCAAGTGTAATAAAGCATAGCGTTTAAGGGACATTCAAGTGTAATAAAGCATAGCGTTTAAGGGACATTCAAGTGTAACAAAGCATAGCGTTTAAGGGACATTCAAGTGTAATAAAGCATATCGTTTAATTGACATTCAAGGGTAATAAAGCATAGCGTTTAAGGGACACTCAAGTGTAATAAAGCATAGCGTTTAAGGGACATTCAAGTGTAATAAAGCATAGCGTTTAATGGACATTCAAGTGTAATAAAGCATAGCGTTTAAGGGACATTCAAGTGTAATAAAGCATAGCGTTTAAGGGACATTCAAGTGTAATAAAGCATAGCGTTTAATGGCCATTCAAGTGTAATAAAGCATAGCGTTTAATGGACATTCAAGTGTAATAAAGCATAGCGTTTAAGGGACATTCAAGTGTAATAAAGCATAGCGTTTAAGGGACATTCAAGTGTAACAAAGCATAGCGTTTAAGGGACATTCAAGTGTAATAAAGCATATCGTTTAATTGACATTCAAGGGTAATAAAGCATAGCGTTTAAGGGACACTCAAGTGTAATAAAGCATAGCGTTTAAGGGACATTCAAGTGTAATAAAGCATAGCGTTTAATGGACATTCAAGTGTAATAAAGCATAGCGTTTAAGGGACATTCAAGTGTAATAAAGCATAGCGTTTAAGGGACATTCAAGTGTAATAAAGCATAGCTCCAAGGGACACTCAAGTGTACAAAGAATAGCGTGTAATGGACACGCAGGTCTATCAAAGCATAGCGCTACGATGATGTATTTTAATTAAAGTTGGAAGCATTATAAAAATACAAGCAAAATAAAATAAACGTCCTGGCTGCGCAGGTCTTTTAATTGGTAACATTATTTCATTCGTTTAACTTCAGTTCGAACAAATTCAACAACAACAAAAGGTTAGAGAAAGTTTAAACTTGAAGCCTTTCTGAAAACAATCACTGGATGACAAGAAAAAAGGTGAAAAAACTTAGCTATGCGCATTTACATTTAACAAGGTAGATTCAAAGTACACCCACAGACACGCACACACACACACACACACACTCACATGCACGTGCGCGCACACACACTCACTCACACGCACGCGCGCACACACACTCACAAGCACGTACATACATACACTCACACACACGTATGCACACACACACAATGCACGCACGCACGCACGTGCACACACACACACGAAAGAAGGGACTTAACATCCCTCTGATAAGTGGGGTTGTGACACTAACAAATAAAGTATAAATAAAAAGTATGTTTGTTCATGAATGCAGGGTTGTCTTCCTTACCCAGCTTAGTCTCGTAGCCGTTGATGGCTCTACAGGTGGCTTTTCCGTTGCTGAACCCAATCTGTTCGCCATCTCGGTGCCAGTCGTTGTTCTGTCGTAAGAGTTGAACGCATACTTATGATTACATCTAGGATCGAGCTCAATGCTGATGGTTAAAAAAACACACCCTAAAAACACATGTCATGAACGGGCTTGGATTTCTCTCATGCAATGAGGAAATAGTTTGCAATTTCCATTTGACTTTTGACGACGTTCATTGGATAAAATACAACTTAGGTTCCAAATAATGGCTAATAGATTATTAATTTGTCCACGCTACATAAATATAAAAAAAAAACAAAACAGGATCTAATTTTGAAAAAAAAAAATATATACATATGTCATTAAGTAGACAACAAGTTGAGTCTCGTCCTAACGAGCTCCTCTGTAACTAACATAGACAAATAAACATATCATTATATCATCGTAAATATATGCATGAAGTTGACCAAAAAATGTCTTGCTCTTTTACCCTTAAGGTAGATTAATATGTGGTCTTATATATATTTAGGTCCAGACGTAGTGAACATTTGGCCAGGAAGCGTCAAAATGTCGAGGAGCATTTACGGTCGTAAATCTATTAAACATTGTAGTCAGTACAAAAAAAATAATATCAAAAAGCAATAATGATAATTGTTTCATTAAAAAGACCCTAAAAACAAAGTTTTGTTATATAATCATTTCTTACATTTTATTATAAGAAGAAGAAGTCTTATATAGCGCGGTACCCCATCCTAGTGCTGGGCTCACCGCGCTGTACATAAAAATTTTATCAAAAGAGACATAATCATGACATTAAAATAAAATACATTTATGAAATAAAAAACAGGAACCTCACCACATAACTTTTACAAGGCAAACCATGGACGGCAGCCAGCAAGATCGTTTATCGGTCAGAGGAGGGGAATCAGTCAGGGTAGTATAATTTTAAAAAAAAACATGTTTTGAGTGCAGTTTTGAAAGCCTGTGTGGTTGGTCTATTACGTATGTTTAGTGGCAAAGAATTCCATTGTTTGGGGGCGCAGAAAGAGAAAGATCGTTCACCATATGTTTTAGTGTGTGTCTTGGGAACGGACAGAATACGCTTGTCTGCACAGGAGCGACGCTGTCGAAGGGGTGAATAGACAGAAAGAAGTTCGGTTAGATAGGAAGGGCAGGAATCCAAGAAAAACTTGTGACAGAGAACACACAACTTGTAGTCAATGCTTGCCTGTGTAGGTAGCCAATGAAGGGAATGGAGTAGTGGAGTGACGTGATCACGTTTTTTTGCCTTTAAAACTAGCCTAGCAGCTGAGTTTTGAACTTTCTGCGGTTTTCCTATGCAGTGTTTTGGAGAACCTGACAGAAGAGAGTTGCAATAGTCAAGACGAGAGAGAACAAGAGCACAGACTAGAGTTTTTGTAGCGCTAACTGTCAGGTAGTGGCGTATGGAACTCATCTGACGGATAGTGGTGTATGCTGAACGACAAATGTGAGATATGTGTTTATCGAGAGACATGTTGTTAGAAAGAATATAACCAAGATTCCTAGCAGATGGTGTAAACCGTACGTCAGAGTTACCTACTTGAAATGAGGTAGGAAGATTTGAGGTAGAGGATGATGTGTGATTGTGGATGAGAAGTGCTTCCGTTTTGTCATCATTAAGCTTCAACTTGCTGAGGGTCATCCATGACTTGACATCATCAATGCACCCCCGCAAAGTCTGGACAGCGGATTCAACAAGAGAAGGATGGGTATGCTTGTATAGCTGCGTGTCATCTGCAAATGACTGGCTCTCAACATCATGCCTCCCAAGCAAGAGGAGCAAAGGTCTGGTATACAATGTGAATAGAATCGGGCCTAAAACAGACCCCTATGGTACTCCGTACACCAAATCAGCACTGCCTGAGAGACAGCCATCGACAGAGACCGCCTGCGTTCTATCAGAGAGGTAGGACCTAAAACCAAGCCAAAACTGAGCCAGAAATTCCAAAGTAATTTTCAAGGGTTTTGAAAAGGATTTCATGGAAATGTCTATAGGCCGACTGATTAGAACTGAGAAGAGAGTGGTCCATTAAATAAGCAAAAAGTTGTTTTAGAACTAGTTTTTCAATAACTTTAGATAAAAATGATAAGTTAAATACAGGTCTATAATTTTTAAAATTATTTTCATCCAGACCAGACTTCTTAAGCAATGGTTTGATGACAGCTGATTTACAAAGAGGGGGAACAGTGCAAGAAGACAAGCTTTCATTTATTATGTGGGTTATCGTTGGGAGCAAATAATTTAATGACTCAACCAACAGGGGGTGGGGGATAGGATCCAAATAACCTGACGTAGGTTTAGATTTTAAAATTATACTTTTGACCTCAAGTTCTGAAACAGGTTTAAAAGAATCGAAATGTGAAGTAAGAAAAGGAACAGGAGGCAAATCCTGGGATGTGCATCAAAACGATCAAGCTCAGCGCGAATGCTCGCAACTTTGCTTGTAAAGAAATCACAGAAAATATCTGGTTGCTGGGGCAAAGGAAATACTGAAGGAAGAGGAGTTTCTTTGTTACTCCCTCTAAGGTCGCTACAAACATCAAACGACTGTCTGCTGGTTTTACCCATAGTTATCTTTTGGCTAAAATACGAAGTCTTAGCACGACAAATACTCTGAGAGACACGGTTCTTGGCAGCGGAAATGATCTGCTTAAAAACCACAAGACCTTACCTCAACCACTTTTTTTCCGCACTACGCCGCTCTTTCTTGGCACTGCGTAATTCTTCCCTTAATGGTCGCATACCAGGGAGCTGACCACGTTAACCTAAAATTGCGTGCCGGTCAAGCACAGCGCGCAATGCACGGTCTAGTGTTTCCAATGTAGGGCAGAGGGTGGGAGACACTACTACACTCAGGGCATGCTTAAAGGCATCCCTGTTTATAGTTCGAAGACTACGGACCTCCCTAAACAGAGGGAGAGGGTTGGGGGGCCTTTACATTAAGAACACAAATAACACAGAAGTGGTCAGAGGACAGCTCCTGAGTGACTGAAGCAGATCTAACTAAACCATCTCGAGCCCTATGTAGTTCCCAATCAAAAATGTGTCCACGATCATGAGTCGGTTGGTCGACTGAATGCTGAAGAATGAATAAATCCAAAAGATCCAACATCTTAGCATCCAATATCTTAATTTTCCAGCCACGTTTAACCAGCAGATTTATTTCACCAACTATTTCAGAAAAACAAAAGAACATGTTACGCATCAAACGCACTTGCGAAATATTTTTTGAAAATAATTTCATTTAGCGCAGTTATGAGCAACTTTATTTCGTGAAATCAGTGGCATCATATAATTTACTTTATCTTCCACTTGAAAAATAGGAAAAGCATATTTTTAGGGGTTGGGGTAAAAATGTAAATACATATTTGGTCATCGGCAACGACTTTATGTGCCAAGCTTTAGCTCGATAGGTTGACGGGACGTTGGTCAATTAGCTGTCCGAAGATTTTTCCACCCAGCCAGAACGAAACTCACGAACGAAAGCAAAGTTAATTTAAATGAGTTTAAAAGGATAAAAGCTGGACGGTAAATATCGATTACTTTGTCCTTACTTTAAGGTAACCAGAAGAGTAGGTTAATTTCAACCATTCAATCCTAACCTTGAGGTAGCCATAACAATAAGTGACGATGAACTATTCAGTCCTTACCTTAAGGTAGCTGGTACAGCCGGTGAGTATCTCATTAGCGTTGCAGGACACCTCGGCCACTTTGTCGTCTCCCACCTCGGACACGCCTGACCACCTGGTGACGCACGACAGCTGATGGGAGGTGGACGTCGATGTGGCCGTTCCCTCGTTCCTCAGGCCGGCGCTGGTGGTGGAGTGGGTCACGGCGACACTTGCGAATGGGTTGTGCTGGACCGGAAGTTGGATCTCATCTGAAAGAGAAATCAAGATCAAATATATTACAAATATATACATATTATTTTTTACAATATACTGTAAAAAAAAACATAGGTCTTTATGTCGCCAAAGAATGAATAGTCGAACAGTGCAAAATGTTGTATAGTATTGTAACTATACTTTTTGATTAAATAGAATTAAATGCATTATTCAATATGTTTAAAATCCACAGGATCCTCCAAAATTTAATTTATAGGTTGAAAATCTCCATACGAGAAAATATGAATTCAAAATTGTTAAATATATAAATGACATTACTGAAAAGTAGAAGCCATCAGTTACTCACGCCCGTCTCCAGATATTTGCACATTGACCGTGGCGTCCGTCTTCCCCACAGAGAAAGTCTGTGTCTTGATGGGTTTGTTTTTGTAATACACGACCAGGTTGTAATCTCCCTGGAAACCCCTGGCGGTGAAAGATGTTCCCGACGACAGCGATCTGTTCAGATGTGTGCTCCACTCTTCTTTGATCAGATGGAGGTAACGCACACCGGCTTTGTCCAGCTGTAGATAAAATCATATTGTACAAGAATGCTTCAGAAAACTGCATAAAATATTACACATTGTTTTCATTCATCAACAATTTGTAACACGAAGCGACTAGTATTTTTCAGAAGAAAAAAAATATTTTCCATTATTATTTTTATCCTTATAATAAATAAAAAAAAAAAATCAAGAACAACTTATTCAAATGTTAAAAACACAAGCTAAAAATTGGTGTGGCATATTAACACTTTGAAAGTCATCAATTATATTTATGACATTTATTTTTTTTAAATAGGGAAAAAAACATGATCAGTTTTGTAACACGATGTTATTAACTCGTGATTTATAAGTGTCAAAAATTTTCTTCAAATTTTATTCTAATTTTTCTTTCTTTGAGTGCAACCGAATATTTTAATTTGTTATTGTTTGAAGACTTTTGGATATCATAAAATTTCATTTAATTTCGAAATATTAACTACACACTAAAGAAAATGGATCAGAAAGTTAGTTTTTTTACTAAAAATGTGATTTTTGAAAAAAATAATATTGAGTGTGTTAAATTTAGCATTGAGAAAAAAGAAAATTAAAATTAAGAAAAAGTGCTTTAAATATTTCTTTAATAATTGATGTATTTCATTTGTATTTTTAATTTATAACGATAAAACTATACGTTATTCTAATAAGCAGATCGATTTTACTTTTTCCAAATTTCAATCTATTCGATTTCCTTTAAATAATAGAAAAACTCTATTGATTAAAAAAAGAAGATTCGAAGGTATTTAAATAGATTTCCTTTTAGCGTAATATGGGTACCTTAGCTCATTCATATATATATATGTATATATATTTATATATATATATATATATATATATATAGTTATCACAACTCTTAACTCTTAAAAGTTAATTGCTTAGAAAAAGTGAAGGATTCTTTCAATTTCTAATTCAGGCGAAGTAAACGAGAATTTGTAATTGCCTTACAAAGTCCCGAATGTAACATATTCTGAGAAAAAATCATTAAATAAGAGATAAAACGTTCTTCCCTTGACCATGGAGTTTTCTGAAGACGTGCAATGTGCCAAACATCGTGAAGTCAGGACTCAAAGGTTGTGTTTTTGGAGTAGAGTATGCAGCTTTAAATGTATAGTATCTTTTCAACGATTAAAAAAATATATATATTTCAAGATTTACATTTGATATCCCTTATGAATAACCCACCGTGAAAGTATTGCCGTGGACAAGGGCCCCCTTCGGAGAGACGTCGTGATCCCAGAATCCCCAGAAAATGACCCCTTCAAGAGCCGGGTGACTAAAGTAAAGTCTCAGAACAGTCTCATACCTGGGGGGAAAAATAACCAAGAAAATGGCAGATATTCATGAACTCATTTGTTGTCAATTTAACCCGTAAACGCCTTCAAATACAGAAAAATCCAAGGTTATTCGTCAGTAAAACATAATATTGAATTTCCAAAAGAGAATGCTTGATTTATCCATGTTTTATTTTGTAGAAAAGACGATCTTAACCAAGCAAGCCCACCACTCTGCAGTGTCAGTCTTATTTAAAGATTTATTAGTATTATGTTTAAGCGTTGAGGTGGGGGGGGGGGCGGGGAAATATATTTTAAACTTAAAATGGAGTGCGGGAAATGGGTTTAAAATAAAGTGGAGGGGGAGAGGTAGGAGTGCTGTAAAAATTTTAAGAACCCCACGTCAATAACGTTTAAAGTTAGATATAGAAGACGGTTAATAAAAGAAATATAACAATTCATTGTAAATATGCAATTGTCATTAAAAAAAACAACAACTCAGATAATATTTCTTTTGTCCTGTCCATTGATTCAAGTTTAATATACCCTGTTCTTATATTTAATATTTTCACCCAACATTCTCAAAACAAAAAAGCAAAAAAAAAAAAAAAAAATTAAAAAAAAAAAAATTAAAAAAAAAAAAATAAAAAAAAATAAAAAAAAAATAAAAAAAAAAAAAATGTAAAACAAACAAATAATGTTATTTTATCCTACGGTAGAATAGCTAAGTACAAAAGATATAAATAATGCGCCTCTGTAGAAAGAAATCCGTGCTACATAAGCATTTTTTTTTTTAAAATTAGAAAATTTTAATACATATCTCTCTATTTTTTTTGGTGGTGGAAGGGGAGCATATTTAGAGTAATAAATCATGCCAACATTGTTGAGAGTTAATCCTCCATTTTTAGTTTGGATTCTAACAATTCTCGGGGTGGATTCTCCCAAAGTAATTTTTTAAATTTAAATTAGAAGGAATCTTACTTACCAATCAGCACGCGTGTTCTCATCATTGGCTGCCAGATCCAGCTCCGTCACAAAGATCGGTATGCCAGGCTGTGCCAGGATGTCCAAACGGTGCTGTGAATACAATCAAAATAAATGCTTGCGATTTAACTTTATTTTTAAATCTAGGCTGAAGGTATTTTGTTCAACATCTACTTGTGTGTAAGTGTCCATTAAGGGTTAAACGAAACTGCGTATTTTCCAAAATGAAAACTGTAAGTGAAAGTTCCTTTTTTAAGGCCAAGAAATCTTTTCATGTCGGAAACTGCTTTTGCTAGAAAACGCACAAAGATGAACTGTAACGTGTTCTTTATTTAAAATGGTGCACCCTTACAACAATTATTCACGGGTATGAATTAGAGAACTTATTCCTTACTAACTCCTACTATAGCTACCAGTTAAGGTGACTAAATAAGTAAAGTAAAATATCCGCTGCGAAGATCAACCAAATTATTCAATTTAAAAAAAACAAAAAAAAATATTGTCAAAGAAGCGAAACAAAACCGATTTCACAATTATGAGAAATTAACAGCCTCCCCCTTTTTCCTCTCGATTCTTCCTCTGCTGCCCGCGAAGTCTATCCCGTCAAAGAAATAACAGCAACAAAACGAAGAAATATTTACCTTTATGAGAGTTGGGTCAGGGGCTTGGTAGTGAGGGAAATGACTTTGAACACCAACACCCCCGAGACCGACATTGGCCGCCTTGAATTGTTTGATCTGTTCCAAGTAAGCCTGGGAGAATGAAGGGATAAAAAGAAAATTAAACTTCAAATTTGTGCAGAGAAACACAAGACGTCACGAAGAGCTATTCTGAAATAAAACCTTTAGCTCTGACTTCTATGACTGCTTTGACAGCCCTGACTGCTCTGATGACTTTGATAAAGCTGACTGCTCTGACGGCTCTGATGACTGATAAATCTGACTGATCTGATGACTCTGATAAATCTGAGTGCTCTGACTTCTATGACGGCTCTGACTTCTCTTTCAGAAAATGAATTGGATACATGGATTAGTCAATGGATTGAATCAATATAATGCATCAGGGACGTCATTTGTGTAGGGCATCGTGTGGCATTTGCCAACCCCCATTGAATTGGCAGGTTTTAATTAAATAGCTCCATACTATGAGGCCTCCAGTAATAAACAACTCAACAAACTGGCAAATTATTTGTGTCCTCCCCTCCCCAACCCCGACATTTTCTAAAATGACATCCCTGGATTAGATCAATTGATTTGATCAATGGATTTGATCTTTTTTTTCCATTTTTTTTTTTTTTTTTGGGTCTATGAAAGCTTTATTTGAGACCAAACTTAAAAATGACCATGCTTTAAGGATGTTCATATTAATGTCCGGTCTGCATCCCCATCCCCGACATTTTCTAAAATGACATCCCTGGATTAGATCAATTGATTTGATTAATGGTTTTTTTCTTTTTTTTCCATTTTTTTTTTTTTTTTGGGTCTATGAAAGCTTTATTTGAGACCAAACTTAAAAATGACCATGCTTTAAGGATGTTCATATTAATGTCCGGTCTGCAGTTCCGTGGATCTATGTTTGTGGGCCGTGCCAACTCCTCCCCTGAAACTGTCGCCATCACCGCAATTAGCAACATCATGTCAGTTCTTTGTCTTTTCAAGACCTGACTATACAGTGGGCCTTTAGAAAACATTACCAAAAAGCGCCATTCAAATGTCCATCACTAGACTAGGCAGCATTGTGTGCACTCTGCAAGCTTTAATAAACTCATTGACCTAGATTTGTATATAAGTTTACTTATCTTAGCTATTCCTTTAAGATGCGCGTATACCGCACGAGTGTTAACAGTGTAAGCCCGATAGATCTGTTTAGAGCAGAAGCACCAAACTTTTTTTTTTTTTTTAAAGAGGGCCGGATAAATGACAAAATGTCGCGTGCTAGCCGGATTATCATTAAGTAAAACTCTTGCGAGCCAGATCAAAGCTGTGGGAAAAAAGACCAAAAACTAAGTTTAGTATTCCATGTTACTCATGGGTGAGCCGGGGGCAATGCATAAAAGAGCAAAGACAAGCAACATGTTTATTTACTAAAAAAAGTTTATCAAAGAAAGCGACGTTAGCAAAAAGATAATTACGTTAGATCTAGTGCACACATATCCGAATCTCATAAAACTAGGACCAAAAACGTTTGTGAGATTTGTGAAACTGACGTTTGGCTTTCAAGATACCATCAATGTTTAGTTTGGAATAGCTGCATCAAATCAAGGGAATAGCTATCAAATGTTTATCAGTCACTCTCGTTCGATGTGTTGACTCCACATGCTTCATTTTTGATAATGTTTGCTCACAGGCATAAGTTGTTCTAAACACTGATGCCACACCAGTGACACATTTCTTCAGCTTCGGAAACTCAACATCAAGTAAGCAGCGGTAAAATTCAACACGTTTTCCTTCTCTGTGCTTCTCTTTCAAAAAGACATTAAAGCAAATTTTGCTTGCAAATCAATGAGCTCCAACTGTAGTTCACCCGGCACATCCTCAAGGTTACAATCGAACGGATCTGGAACAAAAGGATGTCACTCTCAATTCTGTCAAGTTCTTGAAATCTCTCCCAAAAAATGCTTCTTCAAGTCACGAATATTTTTTCGGAAAATCCGTGTTAACATCGTCGGCGACTTTAGCGCAGAACTCTTTGAAACATTGAGAATGAGAATAGTTTTTCTCCTTACAGCTGTGCTTCAAACAATGACAGCTTTCTCCGACATTCTTCAAAGATTCTGTAGAGATCACAGGTGAGTTTATCCTTTCCCTGAAGTTTCAAGTTGAGTTCATTCATGTGGGATGTCATATCGACCAAAAAATTTCAACTTTGACAGTCAGGTAGGATGTGACAGCTGTGGGTCAACTTTGACAGCCAGGTAGGATGTGACAGCTGTGGGTCAACTTTGACAGCCAGGTAGGATGTGCCAGCTGTGGGTCAAATTTGACAGACAGGTAGGATTTGACAGCTATGGTTCAGCTCTATTCTTTAAAATGTGAGAAAAAAATATATTTCGTTTCTGGGCTTGTACAAATTAAAGAGCCGAGCCACCTCACAGCTGTGTGATAAGTCACATAATTCAGAATCAATTTTTTTCAAGAAAAGCCTGGAACTGACGGTGATTGAGTTCATGTCCCCGAGTGAAGTTCCCAGCAGAAACAACTGGTTTAAGGATAAAAGAAATATCGACGCCTTTCTCCACAGAGTGCTTGCTGATGTATGATACAGTGTATGAACAGAGCGCCTGGATTAACAAAATATTCCAACTGAGTCCTGATCTGCCCCACCAGACCCTTCCTCACTCTAGCCATGTTTTTTTTCCATCACTGTAACACCTCGATTTGATTCCACTGAAGGTTATAGTCTTGCAAAATTTTGTGCACTTCCCTGAAAATGTCTTTTCTAGTTGTTGTTCCATGCATGCTGAAAACGGATGCCAACTCTTCCGTTTTATCCGAAAGTCCAAATTGACACTACGAATGAACCCGAGAAGTTGTGCCATAATCGAGAGATCAGTAGACTCGTCCAGCGCCAGAGAATACAAGTTCCTAGCTTTCTCACGTATCTGAAGCCCTATGCTTTCTCAAAGTTCTTTTGTTCTCCGCACAGCTGTACTAACGTGCCCAAAGGCTGATAGTTCCAAACAAATGTGCTATCGCAGGACACAAGTCATTTGCTGCTTCCATCATACACTCTTTGATGAAGTTGCCATCAGTAAATGGTTTTCCTCGTTCCGCCAACTTATGCACTATTTTGTAACTTGTTTGAGTGACATATCCTTTTTCAGATAACTTTCGCGTAAAGAGATTTCTTTGACTTTCTAAATTACGTTTCATGGAACTATATTTCTCAGAGCATAACAGAGAAAAATATTTCTGGAGCTTCGGACCTATGTTGACACTCGTACATATTAGGGAGCGGGAAAAAATGCGTGTTTTAATGTTTTGCCCTGGAAACCATGGTAACGTCCGAGATTAGACGGAGCTACCACGAGCCGGGGAAGAACTTGAGATGGCGCAAACTAAGCAAGCATTACAATATTTGAATAAAAATGATTTCAAGAATTCATATTTTAAAATTAAAAATGGTAAATTTGAGGCAGCCGCTAGAGAACGACCGAAAGTGATTTTCTGATTTCAGCCGAAATCGAAACTAGACCGAAATTTAAAAGGACTTTTGGCCGAAACCAAAATTAAACCAAAAGTTAAAATTTCAGCTTCGGCCGAAGCCGAAATTAAATCGATATTTAACTTTTTGGTTTCGGCCGAAATATTTAGGTATTTTGACATCGGTCCACGCATACATTCTACATACATAAAAAAAATCATGTGGGGGGGGGGGGAAAGCATCAATATTTACATTCTTTTTTTTTAAAAATGAGATCATCGTGAATATTAATTAATAATTTGGCTTTTACTATTTAATTTAAAAGTAATTTAAATTTCTTTAAATTGTTTATTTAAGTAGTATAATAAGAGAAAATTTGGACCGCGGGTTGGGGGGGGGGGAGGCAAATGTCGTGCAAAGTAGACCCTTGAGTGCCCTTTTCTTTTATAATATAATTACAATCTAGAACATATAACTATAATAATTATTGTGGCTCTAATAAAGCCAATTGTCACCCTAAATATCAGTTATTAAGGCTATGGAAATATCACCAGACTGTTTCGCGGATTTCGTCCTACTAATCCTCTGTGTTTTCATAAACAGCTGGCAAGATATCCCTGTATTAATATTTAGCCTAGTACCAACAGATTATTCTTACCGTGCTGTTGACGTAACTATTTCGTTCGGTGACTAACTTCCCTCACCTCCCTTGGTGGGGGAAATTATTATTTTTTTAACTGGGTCTCTTAAAATAGTTGTTCTTCTGACGGGTCTCGATGGAGACTCGCAAGACATCTAAATTGATCGCCTAAATTATAAAAGTAAACAGGTCTGCAGTAGGCCTACTACATAATTATAATACACGCCAGTGATGCATGCACACACTTGTTATTTTGTCAAGAACAATGTTTAGGAGCATAATAATGATGAATTTTCAAGAAATTAATGAACTGAAAAAGCCTAAGTTTCCTTAAATTTAAAAAAACAAAAAACAAAAACAAATTAAAGGAGCAATATTACCATTCCCTAGGATTATGCAATATTAGTCACCTTTGCCTATGAAAAAATGGATCAGTATGATAATAATATTGATAAATCAAAATGAATATCACAAATGAAAGAATTAAATAAACATAGGGTTTCAATTTTTATTTTTGAAAAAATAAAATAAGATAAAGACATAAAATATTACCATTCCACTAGTTTTTCTTCCACAAAACTGTTTATATTAGCCTAGGCCTAATTAAAATTTAATTTTTTGGAAATAAAGGACAAGTAGGTCATCATGCAGTTTTCTCAGAGTATTAGTCATATAACATACGATGACAGCTAGACGTCAAGCAATAAGGAATATCGGTTTGCCAGCCTAGAGACAGACAGACAGTCTGACCTCTGGTAGATGACCGAAAACCCCAGTCAATTTTAGCCAGATGACCGAAAATCCCAGTCACTTTCGGCCAGATGACTGAAAACCCCAGTGACTTTCAGCCAGATGACCGAAAGTCCCAATCACTTACGTCGGAAACCAAAATTAAACCGAAAGTAAACATTTCAGTTTGGACCGAAGCCGAAATTGAACCGAAATTTAAATTTTTGGTTTTGGCCGAAACCGAAATTAGGCCGAAAGTGATCAAACGGCCACTTTCGGTGCCGAAACCGAAGGCGAAACTCCGTCTATTTCTACTTTCCGCACGTGTGAAGATGTCCAAGTATTCTAAACATAATATGAAAATGAAAATTATATCACAACATCTCTTGTTCCTTTAATCAAGCACATTCAAGTACCGTTACGGGTCTGATGCACTGGCGGCGTGGGCCGGATCTGACCCGCGGGCCGTAGTTTGGTGACCCCTGGTTGAGAAAATGGCGATACTGTGTGAACTTACCAAAGTGTACTCCCCGCTGACCACGACGTTGTAGTCGTTGAGGAAAAGTCTCGGCGTGGGGTCAGCTGCATGCACGGCCTGGAACATGTGGTACGTGTAGTGCTGGTCGCCAGTCTTGGACTCAAAGAAATGGCCGTGGAGAAGCTCGTTGTCCACATCCCAATGCGACAGTCTGGCGGGGGAGACAGAGCCAGGTTAGTGTGGATACGTGTTATAACAAGAATTGTTTCTTACAAAATGATGGAAACCGAAAAAACACAACTTTGAGAACGTGTGACAGATTTCACGCTATACTTATTTATTGTAAAATGTACACTTTAGATTCTACGTACACGGAAAGTTGAAAAAAAATGCTATGTTTAAAAAAAAAATATATATATATTTTTTTTTGGCTTTAAGGTTAAAGGTGGTAAAGAAAAATGTAAAGGAATTATTAGAAGTCCACGTTCACAATATACACAATCAGACAAGAGAAACAACACACATTTAAACAGTTTAACCTTGACTATTTCAGTGAGGTATCCTTTCAACAAGAAACAAAATTTATTTTTGTTATAATCTTATCTTTTAATAACAAAGAAAATATAACTAAAAGCAACAACTAATAAATGTTTTAAAAAAATGTTGAAAGTCCGCTCGAAGTACACTATAATTTCTATTTACAACTTTCTTATGATTGCATCCAGCAATAAGGTTTTTTTTTTTTTGCACTTAAAATAAAGGTAACAGGTTTTTTTTAAAAAATGATTAAACCAGACTTACTTCCCCTTGGTGATTCCAGTGATGTACTTGATGTGTTGGTCAACTGTATCTTTCAGGGCTTGACCAGTCAGTGGTGTTGCATAGCTTGGCTGGTTTCCGGGTACTGCCCAGAACATACAGTGACCGCGTACATGTAATCTGGGCCATGGAGATTAGAACATGAAACTGCGTTGAGTAAGCATTTAAAACTAATTTAAATCCAGTATTACACATAACTTTCTTTGTAGGAATTTTAGACGAAATATTTACTGATATACTGCAACATTTCCTACCCATGTTTCCTAAGTTCATCAGTTGCCGCCACTGCGACTGAAAAATCTGGATGCTCCTATGAACAAAATACAAATTTTTAACATGATTATGAAAACAAGATAATTTTTTTAACATCAATGTTTTTAAAGCAAACCTTTAAAAAATGTAAATTAAGGTGGTAGAATGTTAATTTTTGTTTATACTTAACACTCATTTGAAGATGGTCTACTGAGAGTCAACATAAATTATTATTGTGTGTGTTGTTTTTTTACATATCGGCTAACACTCACCCGGGTTCCCCTGTTGTACGGCCACTTGTATTCCTGGATGGTGACCCAGTTAAACATGTGGTACACGACGTTCTGAAACTGACGGTAGTCCGGGTTCACGAAGTAGTCCGCTGCCGCTTGTGTACCGAAGGCGAACAGGTGTTTGGTGTGGTCAATCTGACCAGTGTAAAACAAGAAAATTCATTTGTTGCAGCTTTCTCCCCCGCCCCTTTCTTTAAGTTTCCACATCGGACAGTTAGTTCATGTCAGATTCAACAACAGAGAGTTTGTTCATGTCAGATTTAAAAAATGGAGAGTTAGTTCATGACCAATTCAACAACAGAGAGTTTAGTTCATGTCAGATTCAACAACAGAGAGTTTAGTTCATGTCAGATTCAACAACAGAGAGTTTGTTCATGTCAGATTAAAAAAATGGAGAGTTAGTTCATGACCAATTCAACAACAGAGTTTAGTTCATGTCAGATTCAACAAAAATGTCATGTTCAACAACGGTGAGTTAGTTCATGTCATGTTCAACAACGGTGAGTTATTTCGTGTAATTAAGATTCAAATAAAACAGCTACTTCGACCAGATGCATTGGGAAGGCTATATCAACATTAAAATGTACGATTACCATTCAATGGAACGTACGATTACTATTCAATGGCATATAATATAATAATTCAAAGGGATGTAAGTTCACTATTCAATGGGATGTAAGATTACTATTCAATGACATTTAAGCTCAAAGGGATGTAAGTTTACTATTCAATGGGATGTAAGATTTTACTATTCAATGACATAAAATATAACCATTCAATGAAATGTAAGATTACTATTCAAAGGGTTATAAGATGACTATTTAATGGAATAAAAGTCTCTGACACTGCACAAAGAAAGATGCAAATTTTTTTAAACATCGAGTCAACAAATATTTGACAGCTGACATCATCGCTGTACGTCCCCTCTAAAAAAATATTTGACAGCTGACGTCCTCGCTGTACGTCCCCTCTAAAAAAATATTTGACAGCTGACGTCATCGCTGTACGTCCTCTATAAACAAAATATTTGACAGTTGACGTCATCGCTGTACATGTTCTATAAACACATATTTGACAGTTCATGTCATCGCTGTACGTCCTCTCTGAACAAATATTTGGCAGCTGACGTGTTCGCTGTACGTCCTCTCTAAACAAATATTGACAGCTGACGTCATCGCTGTACGTCCTCTCTAAACAAATATTTGACAGCTGACGTCATCGCTGTACGTCCTCTCTAAACAAATATTTGACGGCTGACGTCTTCGTTGTACGTCCTCTCTGAAACAAATATTTGACAGTTGACGTCATTGCTGTACTTCTTCTCTAAACAAATATTTGGCAACTGACATCATCGCTGTACGTACTCTCTGAACAAATATTTGACAGCTGACGTCATCGCTGTACTTGTTCTGTTAAGTGGCACATTTGGTTGCCTTTTGTGCTCGAGATATCAGGGTTCAGCGACATAAAAAGAATCAATATAACCGAGAGGAAAATGCTAATACAAAGAGAGATTGGCTAGGAGGGTTGGCTAGTTAACCGAGGTCGAGATAAGCGGGTTCGAAAAAAAAAAAAAATTAAAAAGAGATTTAGCCAATGGCGGATTTCTGAAACACAATTTCTTGAGTTAAATGAACGGAAAGAATCCGCCTCATTCGCCGGAGCCAACAACCTTTTGTTTTGTTCAGACTTAATATTAACGCGTTGGTGTTTAAAACTCTATTTACCTATTCAGTCCATTTAGATCTAAACGGTCTTCTGCTTAAGATAAACTTTTAGAAGTTTCTATGTCAAACAATGACTTTTATTTCGTAAATACATGTTCCCTGGTATCGTTGTACCATGACGTACCTGCACTCTTAGGTCGTTGACGTTGAAGTTTGAAGCTACGTTGAAACTGTGGATGTGAAGTCAAATCAAATCTGGTTTTATTTTCAAATGAAAAATTTCTGCTTTTATTATTTGAAGAAAATGTTGCATTTAATGTCACCCCGTTTTCTTGGTTGGTTTTTTTGGGGGGATGTAAATCGCGAAAGAGCATTGTTGAGATTCCATAAAAAAAAGAAAAAAAAAAATTTTTTTTTTTTAGATTCTTAATTGATTGATTTATTATTTTATTTTATTTGAATTTTATTTGTTTTTGTTTTATATTCAAAATCCTGCACTTTTTAAAATTAATCTCGTCCACACCTTATGACTTGTCTCACTTGAAGTGAATGTTTTACTTGTCTCACTTGAAGTGAATGTTTTACTTGTCTGACTTGAAGTGAATGTTTTACTTGTCTCACTTGAAATGAATGTTTTACTTGTCTCACTTGAAGTGAATGTTTTACTTGTCTCACTTGAAGTGAATGTTTTACTCGTCTCACTTTAAGTGAACGTTTTACTTGTCTGACTTGAAGTGAATGTTTTACTTGTCTCACTTGAAGTGAATGTTGCTCTTCCTGAGGGATTCGATCCTACTGTTGGCCTCTGCCTTCCAATTTGTGTCTGCGGCTATTTCCGTCAGCGACGCGTCATCCACGTAAAAGTCGACGTGCGGGGCCAGGCCTTCGACGTAGATCTTAACCTGAGTGTATTCTTGGACACACGAAAATGGACAGATTTAGTTAATTATCATAATGTAATTTACTTTGGTAATAGATTATTGGCTTGAATATTTCAATTCAACAACAACAAAACAAAATAACACAAAACGAAACACAATAAAATCAAAGAGATAAAACTTTTCTCATTCTAAAAAAAATAAAAAAATAAAATAAACTTCAAAAACAATATAATACCATTAACTTAAACCAAACCAGATTGTTTTACAGGAAGCAGAATTAGAGTTATCCAACATTTGGTGATGGACATTTTGGGAATATTTTTCGACCACTAAACAACGCATGTTAGAGGGGACGGGCAGGAGCTAGTGTGACCATAAGATATGGAATAATTTACTTATTTTACAAATGGTGTATCATTACCTCGGTTCGGCACAACGAAATCTCCTCCTAGCTGCAGCCATCCATCGGCAGCGGTCAAGAATTGTCGATTAGTTACACGGATGTAGTCGTCTGCTCCTGTTGTTGGTAAATCAAAAAATCGCATTGTCTGATGAGTACTATTTACTATCAGCCCTTAGCAATTTTAACACGTTAATCTTTGTAATCAGTTGACTAAAGCTGCAATCTTTTTCAATTCGTACACAATTTCCCATTTGCTTACAAATAAACTTTAAAAAACACCAAAAAAAACAAAACAAAACCAACAACAAAACAACGCATTACATTAAAACCATCATCGATAAAAGGGCTCTATTGCCCTAGCTGCTGATAACGTCTCCAAAAAAAGAAATCTTCCGAGCTTCCTACAACAAACGAGACTACACACATCGCGTCAAACACCACTACCAGAGCACGCCTTAAAAATGTTCACACACTGTTTGCAACACAAAATATAAGAGCGACCTCACTTTATCTCCTCCCACCCCACACACAAAAATAAAAATAAAAAACAAAACAACAACACAAACCCATCATTCATAGTTACTACTGACCATTGTCCTTTCGTTTCAGGTCGATAGTGACTGCAGCTGACTGGTACATAGAGCCTGGCAGGTCACTGACCAAACGAATGTAAATGCTGAAGGCGTAACGGCCCCCCGGTTTGACGTGAACCAGCTGTGCTGGACCCTGCCAGGCTTGAGTTCTGTTTAAATATAAGATAAAAGCCGTACGTATTGATGCCACGTTGAATATCGCTTAACCAGGGGTTTCAGAAGTCTGAAAGTCCTACATTGAAATATAATTATTATGAGACGGGACATTCGCTGGAAAAAAAAAATGTAAAGTAAATTTAATAAAAGGAAATCGAAAAATGACATCAAATCTAAACTTGTTGGTCGATGGTTTAAAATACAGCCCCATTGAACAGAAAGGATGACACCAGTGGGATACGACGCCCGGTTGGGGGGGGGGCATTGTAACGTCAGATCATTGTTGTGAATGGTCATCTGGCAACAGGCCACCGCATAAAAGCTACTAGGGCAAGTTGTATAATTAGCTACTAGATTTGAACTCTCAGAGTGAACCTTCTTTTTACGCTCTTGCAAAAATCAGTATATCACTTATCGAGATAATATAATCCTAGTAAGCCAGCCTACCCCACCCCTCACCCGCTAGCATTATCCTACTTTGAAATGCATAATACTGTATGTCATTTACTTCAACATTGTTTTTTAAAAAGTAAATTATATTTGAATTTTGCTGTTTTCTTTACTTTGATGCTTTCAAAATATGTTGTTTTTTAAAAAAAATTCAATGCTCTTCGTCTTTAAAGGAGTAGAGTCTAACTCGGAGCCATCCTCCTTTGTATTTCTTTTAAATCCTTTTTATTAACTTCGCCTTTGTTCCTGTGTTTCTGTGTTTAAGGCTAAAATATTTGGACGGCTATTCGACCCACACCCTCGCCATCCTATCGAACTGAAACTTGGCAATTTGATCGCTGTGAACACAAAACAAATGTAATATTTTCACCACACCCACAGCTGCACTTTGCATTAGTTTCCGACGCGATTTAAGATGTAAAAAAAAAAAACCTGACCTTCCCGTGCACTTGCCAGAATGTGTGCCGCCATGATGCTGTGACGTGTCGGCGGTCATGGTGAAGCCATCATAGACCCAGTTTGCGAGGCCACTCTCAAAACCAGGATTCGGTAGCAGTTCCGGGGCGGAATGGGCACCCGACACCAATATGGAGGCTACCGCTAGGAAGTATTTCATTCTCATCCTCTCCAAGCAGCCAAATTTCGAAAAATGGACCTTCGTGAAGGAACATCTGTTTTATATGGACGTCTATAATGTCATTGCTTGTGTTTAGAGATTATGCCACCAAGTGCAAGCCTGCGAAAAAGTTCAGAGGCCAAATAAATTGTATCTTATCGGTTAAAAAAATACAATCGGGGTCAAAGTTTTACTTAATGAGATTAATTTTTCTTAAAAACTTAATTTTAATTTAACAAGCAAAGGAAAAACGACAAATTGTAAAATGAAAGGTTGGATGAGACTAATGTTAGTTGCCAGTGTTGAGTTGTCATAAGAATAATCAGAATATTCTCTACATCACTTGTTGACTTTAGATACATATGGCTTCAGTAATTCATAATGGTCATCATCTCATTACATGTTAAACATTCCCCCCCCCCTCTACTTTAAAACTTTAAATAGACTATGCATTTAAAAACAACCTTTCAAACGCTAAAATTATATATATATACACACACACACACATACATATATATATATATATATATATATATATATATATATATATATATATATATATATTTATATATATTTATATATATATATATCACCAAAATATTATACTTAAAAGTAAAGTTAATCATGCACTGACGCAGAGATTCTTAAACAGGGGGCCAGCGCCCACTGGAGTGGCAGGAAGCAGTACCATGTGAGTGTGTGAAGACTCAGAAAATCAGCCTCATTAGCATGTTAATAAGTAACACTTTTTAAAAAAGGATGACTGCGAGAAATATGTTTTGAAGTCTGAAGTCATGAGGGCGTGCTGCGCTGCAACAAAAAAATAATGTTTAAGTATCCATGACTTATGCCGTGCAATCATTTTTAATCCTTTTCAAAACGACAGCCCACCCCGTCATCTCCGAAAAAATTATCTCATGTGATTTCAAGGCATGAGTGGAAACTCAAAGACCAGATTACACAAAGAGTCCTAAGCCTCAAATAAATTAATTTTCTGTTTACCCATTCGGGTTAGCAAACTCAAAACAAATGTTTTTTAAAAAAAAAAGTTATTGGCTCCCCACCTCACTTCCCGTCTCAGTTGACAGGTGTGTTGAACTCAAGAGTTGGCAGGTCTGGTGAACTCAAGAGTTGACAGGTGTATTGAACTCAAGAGTTGGCAGGTCTGATGAACTCAAGAGTTTACAGGTGTGGTGAACTCAAGAGTTGACAGGTGTGGTGAACTCAAGAGTTGACAGGTGTGATGAACTCAAGAGTTGACAGGTGTGATGAACTCAAGAGTTGACAGGTGTGATGAACTCAAGAGTTGGCAGTTCTGATGAACTCAAAAGTTGACAGGTGTGTTGAACTCAAGAGTTGGCAGGTGTGTTGAAATCAAGAGTTGGCGGCTTTGATGAACTCAAGAGTTGACAGGTGTGTTGAACTCAAGAGTTGGCAGGTCTGATGAATTCAAGAGTTGACTGGTGTGTTGAACTCAAGAGTTGACAGGTGTGTTGAACTCAAGAGTTGACAAGTGTGGTGAACTCAAGAGTTGGCAGGTGTGTTGAAATCAAGAGTTGGCAGCTTTGATGACCTCAAGAGTTGACAGGTGTGGTGAACTCAAGAGTATGCAGGTGTGATGAACTCAAGAGTTGACAGGTGTGATGAACTCAAGAGTTGACAGGTGTGGTGAACTCAAGAGTTGACAGGTGTGATGAACTCAAGATTTGACAAGTGTGATGGACTCCTTAGTTGACAGGTGTGATGAACTCAAGAGTTGACAGGTGTGATGAACTCAAGAGTTGGCAGGTGTGTTGAAATCAAGAGTTGGCAGCTTTGATGAACTCAAGAGTTGACAGGTGTGATGAACTCAAGAGTTGACAGGTGTGATGAACTCAAGAGTTGACAGATGTGATGAACTCAAGAGTTTACAGGTGTGGTGAACTCAAGAGTTGACAAGTTTGATGAACTCAAGAGTTGACAGGTGTGATGAACTCAAGAGTTGACAGGTGTGATGGACTCCTTAGTTGACAGGTGTGGTGAACTCAAGAGTTGACATGTGAGATGAACGCAAGAGTTTGCAGGTGTGATGAACTCAAGAGTTGACATGTGAGATGAACTCAAGAGCTGACAGGTGTGATGAACTCATGAGTTGGCAGGTGTGATGAACTCAAGAGTTGACATGTGTGATGAACTCAAGAGTTGGCAGGTGTGTTGAAATCAAGAGTTGACAGGTGTGTTGAACTCAAGAGTTTACAGGTATGATGAACTCAAGAGTTGACAGGTGTGATGAACTCAAGAGTTGACAGGTGTGATGACCTCAAGAGTTGACAGGTGTGATTAACTCAGGAGTTGGCAGATGTGATGAACTCAAGAGTTGACAGGTGTGATGAACTGAAGAGTCGCACATTGAATGTGAACTTTCAGTCTGCAAGCGGAAAGAGAGTCGAGATAGCCAATTTGATCAACAGCTTAAAGCCTGAAATCATCTTGGGCACAGAAACATTGCTGAATCCCTCCATTGCCAATGCAGAGTTTGTACCGCTAATTACAAACTTTTCCGGCGAGACAGAAAAGACAGAGGAGGAGGAGTACTTGTTGCTGTCCATGACAGCCTGGACTGTAACGCTGTTCCAGAACTAGATGTCGATTAATGCGAACTCCTGTTGGTGAAGGTGAAGCTGAAGGGTAGACGCACACTTTATGTGTGTGCCTATTACAGGCCTAACACAGCAGATGAACCAAGCCTGAGGAGGCTTGATGTATCACTTCAGAGAGAAATGCAGTCTAAGAACGTTTCTCTCCTTATAGGGGGAGATTTCAACTTTCCTGGTTGGGACTGACAGATTCCTGCTTTGAATCCAAAGTCCCCATACCCGGTCCTACACTCTGAATTCATGGAGATAATTAACAACATGGTCTGGAACATATGGTTAAAGAAGCCACGGGAGGGGAAAACACTCTTGACCTACTCCTCACTAACAGTCCCCATCTCATCCCAAGAGTAGAAGTCATCCCCGGGATATCAGACCACTGCATACCGTACTGCGAATTTCAAGTCAGCGTGCTAAAAAAGAAACAGGCTGTGCGAGAAATCCCCATTGATGCAAAGGCAGACTGGGATAGCCTGAGAAGTGCAACGACTGAGCTGAGTTCAAACATGCATGAGATTCAGGGTAATGCGACAACAGAAGAGCTGAGGAAGAAATTCAAGACAACAATCACTGATGCAGTGATGAAATTCATACCACACAAGACCTCAAACCTAAGACTAATCAACCATGGGTTACGGCTGAAATCCAAAGGCTCATACACAGGAGAGACCGCCAGTACAAACTTATGAAGAAGAATGGGTCGGTCGAACTAAAAGCCGAAGTACTGAGGCTCCGAAGAACCATCCAATGCTTACTGCGCAGATCCTACTGGAACTACCTGAACGGCATCTTCTCAGAGGAAGATACAACTGCCAAGAACACGCGGTTCTGGAGCTATGTCAAGCATCAAAGGTCAACAAACATCGGGGTTTCCCCCCTGAGATGGGAAGGCAAAATGACGTCTGAATCCAAAGAACAGGCGGACATACTCAATCAACAGTTCCAGTCGGTATTTGGGGATGGTAGAGAGTACTCAGAAGTTGAGTTCCTTCCGAAGACCAACATGATGAGCACAGCCTACCCCACCATGGAAGATATCCAGATTTCAGAGAAGGGTGTGCTGGAACTCCTTAAAAACATTAACCCCTACAAGGCATGTGGTCCTGACAACATCAAACAACCAGTACTAAAAGAATTGGCCAATGAAATCGTTCCTGCATTAACAATCCTCTTCCAATCGTCGCTATTCACAAGCAACGTTCCAACTGACTGGAGAACAGCGTATGTCACTCCAATCTACAAAAAAGGAGAGCATTACGACCCAGCCAATTACCCCCCTGTATCCCTCACTAGCGTAGTATTTAAACTATTGGAGCACATAATCGTAAGCGCGGTCATGAATCACCTGGAAAGACACAATATACTCAATGACTGTCAGCATGGCTTTCGAGTCAACAGATCATGCGAGACCCAACTCCTTGAATTTGCTGAAGAATTGACGACCAACTTGGAGAACAGCAAGCAGACTGATGTGCTTGTGCTGGACTTTTCAAAAGCGTTTGACCGTGTCAACCATAGCTTACTATTACACAAACTGCAGAGATATGGGATCCAAGGCACTACCAAAACATGGATCTCTAGCTTCCTCAGCGACCGATGCCAGGCAGTAGTGGTAGATGGCAAAACCTCCTCCTATGTCAGTGTTAAGTCAGGGGTCCCCCAGGGCTCAGTGCTAGGTCCTTGTTTGTTCCTAGCATATATCAATGATCTGCCCGAGAAGCTGACCTCTCAAGCAAGACTGTTCGCAGACGACACGGCGGTATATAGGACAATCGTTAACAGCTCTGACCAGGGCCAGCTTTAACAAGACCTCAATCGGTTAGCTGAGTGGGAGATGAGCTGGGACATGGAATTTCATCCCGTCAATTGCCAGACCCTGACAGTCTCCAGAAGAAGATTCCCTCTAAACCACTCTTACGAACTGCATGGATATATTCTTGAGCAAGTTTCCTCCGTAAAGTACTTGGGTGTTACCATTCAAAGAGAGGTCCACTGGGACGAGCACATTAACAGTGTGTGCAACCGGGCAAACAAGACCCTGGGGTTCCTAAGGCGCAATCTGAAGATCGGAAACTCAAGGTTGAAAGAAAAAGCCTATAAAGCCTTTGTCCGGCCTATTTTAGAGTACGCTTCTACAGTCTGGGACCCATTTACCCAGAAAAGCATCGACAGGTTGGAGGCGGTCCAGCGACGGGCAGCACGATTTGTCATGAACCGCTACAGAAACACCTCAAGTGTTGGCAGCATGCTAGAAACACTGGGCTGGTCTACATTGGAAGAACGACGTCGTCTATCCAGGCTCACCATGTTGTACAAGATAAAAAATGGCTGGTCCACTGCTCCGGAATCAAACAGAAACTCGTTCATCTTTACCCTAGACTGCGACGAAGCCACGACTGACAGTTCAGGCTGGTAAAAACAAGAACAAAGTACAGGAAACCCATGCACAGTAACATCGCAAACCCCTCTGAAACATGGGAGCCAGAATGATCAATTCATTGATCGTGGGCCCTC